GTTTGTAGGTGTTCAGAATGGTTTGATCCCTATCCAGCTGAATTCCTGAGAGGAGAGGAAATCCAGGTCTCCTACTCCTCCGCCATCTTGCTCCGTCCCCCCTTAAGTAATTTTTAAAGGAAAGTGTTATTACTGGATTTTAGTACTTTATAATTCAGATTTGTTCTTTGAATTTTCTAGTAGGTTTTTAGAAGCACAAGCCAAATTATACAGCTCACTTATTTGAGAAAGTAATGAAAAATAAAGTTAAGTAGTTCAGGTATATTGACTTAACCTCATACTTTGTCATAAAATTTGCTGAGTTTCTTGCATTTCTATCACAACTATATTACTCTTCCCTTGTCTTCTAAGTTGTATCTTTATAAAGTTGATTTTACATAAAATTTGAGTAGTTTTGCCACTTGTATGCTTAGGGTAGAAATTAATGATGTTTGGCGTGTGATAAAAGGAAAATGAGTAAAGGTCACTGAGGAGTAGTTCTTCAGGTTGGAATTCTTTACTACATGTGTTTATGTTGCTTAGAATTAACATTTGGGAATTTAATGTTGTTTGGGTTTATGGTATGGATAAAGTTTTGATATAAGGGAAAGGAGGTGACCTGCTGTGTATCTGCCAGAGAGAGATGACGCGTTGTGCACGTGTGACATGTTTGAAAAGGAAATTCTAGCTTGGCAAAAGACTAGCAGATCGAAGGAGGTGCCAGGTGGACTAATGACTGAAATAAAATTGATCTTCCTTTGAAGGAACCTGTGGTCCTCTGGGAGCGACATTTTTGGGTGTTATTATAAGGGAAACATCTAGACACACATTACTTATTACTAGTACTCGTATTTTAGTGTTCCTGTATTAGTACTGCCAAAACCTAGGCTGTAAATTAGCAGAGTAATTTCCTGTGAGAAAGTCAAGCTTTTCCTGGGAGCACATGAGCTCTTTCCTAATTGCATTGGTTCCCTCCCTTGGGACTTGGAAGAAGCAGTGTCCCTTAATGTTATTTGAACCCTTTCCAAAGTCTAACAATTTAAAAAGCAGTGAATGTTTGTATAAGTTAGCTAATTACTAATAATCCTGTGGGTAGAATATATCATCTAAAGTACTGATTTTTACTCCATAAGGTAAGTTCATAATTGTAGTGCTTATCCATGGCTGTGTTGCCAGACCGTTTCATAACTAGTTTGCAAAAAGCCAAATTACCTTTGTCCAATTACTCTAGGGCAACAACACTTTCCAACGCAGTCTCTTCCCTGGCAAGCACTGGCCTGTCTCTAACCAAAGTGGATGAAAGGGAAAAGCAGGCAGCATTAGAGGAAGAACAGGCTCGTTTAAAAGCTTTAAAGGTAGGTGTTTGCATTCTCTGTATTGGGAAAAACAAGTACAGGTGTTCATCAAGTAATTGGGACCTCTAAATAACAGTATTTCAAATGGGGTGAGACTCAGTAGTCTGATTTTTTCATACTGACATTGAATGGCTGATGAAACAGGGAATACCTTTCTGTCATCAGAACAAAATTAGGTAATGCTTTTTTTCTGAAGCCTTGAAACAAATCTGCTTTCTGGATTCCTTATGCTAGTATCTTTTCTCCATAGGAACAGCGCCTAAAAGAACTTGCAAAGAAACCTCATACCTCTTTAACAACCGCAGCCTCTCCTGTGTCCACCTCAGCAGGGGGTATAATGACTGCACCAGCCATTGACATCTTTTCTACCCCTAGTTCTTCTAACAGGTAGGTGGAAGAGATAAAGATTACCTTTGAAAACTTAGATCTAAAGACAGACTTCTTATAAGAATGTTACAGAACTTTTCAGATTTAGTTTATGATTTTGTATTCATAAATTCACACAAAGGTGGTAATAGATGGTGATAATGGTATAATTAAGAGTTTATATTTTGCATTTTTAGGACATGGAAGATGGCTGAATTACAAATTTATACTAATTGGAATGTAGTGGGTTATCTCTGGGCAGATGTTTCATTTATGTACGTGGATATGTAATTATTTCACAGTATTCTTTCATTGGATAGTAAATTAAATGTCTTTCATGTCTGTTCCCAGGTGTTAGACTCAGTGATCTGGAACATAGTAAGAGTTTAGTTGCCAGCTTTCTGTGGCATTGAAGCCTACCAGACCAACTTCAGTACTCTTGTTGCGTAAAGCTACTTAACAATGGAAATTAATATTTCCAGGCAAATTAGGATAATTGACTTTTTCTAAATTTGTCCTTTCTTTTACCTCAGAGTGGTTTAAAGTCTCAGTTTGGAAGTCAGATTCTGGTTGGAATCTTGGCTGTTATTTCTTTTCTTCTCTTTCTTCCTTTTTTTTTTTTAAACTGGTTTCCAAATAAGATGTATGGTACAAGTCAGTGGTACTCAATCTTTAGTAAGCATCAGAATGACCTGGAGAGTTTCTGAAGCCACAGATTTTTGAGTCTCACCCTCAGAGTTTCTGATTCAGTAGGTATAGGGTGAGGCCCAAGATTTTTCATTTGCAACAGACTACCTGGTGGCTAGTATAGGATTTATTAGCACAATGCTTAATTAGCTCAAGGTAAATGCTCCACAGAGAGGGTTTTCTTTGATTTGTTCTTCTTGCTGTTTATTTTATTAACCCATTCTTAAAAGGTCTTGCCTCCCACCTACTGAGTCCTCTCATAGTTCAGTGTAACTTTTACTTAGTTGTTACCTCTTCCCTTTATAAAGACAGAGTCTGTCTTAGGAGAGATAAATGGAAAAGATGTTGAATGTTTGAGAATTAAATTATTAGATAAAGAAGTAATTTGACTATATTCTATTTCACTTAATACACTCAAAGTTTTTACCTTTTTAACTGTAATTGAGGGCAAATCTTACAGCCTATTTTAGAATGCTTATTGCCTATTCTGTTTTTTTTTCCTCAAGGCACTAAATGCATTTGTATTTTTACTTACCTATCAAAACTATTTTTTACGTCTAAAAGACATTTTGTTTTTGAGTAAGTTAAAAATAATCTGTGCTATAGTACACACAATGCTTTAATTCATGGAAACTCTAGGATCTTCTTTTGAGTTGTTACTCCTTAATCACATAAAAGTCTTAGCATATCCTGTAAGTAGTGCCCCCAGTGTAATAGGGTGGCTCCGTTTTAAGTTTATATCATATATGCATGTATAATTTTTTCCTGTATTGTTGGTATATTTGGATATTGAAGCAATAGAATTGAGGTTAACAGGTATTTTATTTTGCTAGGGGTATTAGTATTACAAATGTAATTGAAGTTCTTTGAAGATTAAAAGTAAGAAAACAAATTTCCTTACAAAAATTAAAATTGCCTGGATGTTTCGTATTTCAGAATCATTGTTTAGGTTCATCTCAGTAAGGAAATCAGTATTTTCCTGGGGCAGTCACTGATTTTTCCAGAAGGGCTGTAATTATTTGAATCCTATATAAACAAAATACGGTACTTGAATATTTTTTTCCAAACCTCCTTAGAAATACACTGTTATAAATAAAAATATATGCTCTTACATATATAAAGGATATGCAACTGTTATCTTGCTGAAACTGTTCCTCCTTTTGGGGTTTACATTATTGGGGACTTTTTTCACTTTTAATGTTTTTATTTACTGGGCAGGAAAAAGGGAGTGGCTGATATAGCAATGTTTACCTAATAAATAAATAAATCATCTTTTCAAAATATTTTCCTAGCACATCAAAGCTACCAAATGATCTGCTTGATTTGCAGCAGCCAACTTTTCACCCATCTGTACTTCCTATGTCTACTGCGTCTCAGGTAGCAAGTACATGGGGAGGTAAGCATTAAGGAATTCTGCTTTATATATTGTATAGGCCACTCCCTTCCCATTCTGTAGTGTTTCACTTATTTGTGTAGTTTTTAGTTACACTTGATATGTGAGAACTTGAAAAATATTACAATGGCAAAGAAGTCATTTTGTTCCTTGAAGACGTTTTCATGTATTTGTAAATGTAATTTTGGAATTTCTGTTTCAATTAAATTATGAAATGAAGTTTTAATGAAGGTGAAGAGGAAGGACCCAGTGTATGTTGAAGTATGAAATCATTCTTTCAATGTTGAATATCTGTTCAATAATCAGAAAATGCCTAAGGGTTATTTTGTTTTGGGTATAGAAAAAAAAGTGACTTTAGGGAGAAAGAAAACTCCTGTCATGTAAATATATGATAAGGTTCTAATAAAACTCATATAGTGTTATCAAGCAGTGAACTATGTTCTGACTGGGAATGTCATGACAATCTTTATGCTACTTGTATTTAAAACTTGTATTTAGTTCAGACGTATAAGATTTTGGTATTCAAAGAATTCTCCACTAATAGCAACAGGAATGTTTGCTGCCCTGGAGTAGTTACTGATCTTAGGGTGACTATATCATGATCATTGACCTGGCATCTTCGAAGGATTGAACCTACTAGTTCATGTCAGTTTTTAAGCAGTTTTGTTTAGGCATATGATATGTTTTCAAATTACTTAATTTGGTTGGTTGTGGTGTTTGTTTGTTTTTATATATTATTTTACGAACACTCAATTATTTGGGAGTAAAAGGGGAGATATTCTGAGCAAGGATACTGTCTACAGAAAAATAGAGAATGGCCAGCTACCTTAAAAGTTTTATTGGCTCACATGTAAAATCTGAATTGATCAGCTTACCTCTCATAGCAAGATAAATTAATTGTTCTAGAGAATTTTTATGTTAATATGAATTAGACTTGTTTCATCTCTATTTTAATGATTCGAGTTTTAAGAACTTTATTCATTATTTTTTATAGTTACTTCTTGAGGTTCTACTTAGTATAATAAGTTTGTTGAATGAGTGGATGTTTTTTTTTCTGGACAGGTTATTTCTGGTTCAAGATATGGCAGGGAACAGGAATAGTGAAACACTTAAAACACTAGATTTCCTGACTAACCTTGTGAGCCATGACTTGATTAAAAAACCGACTTAGAAGATTAATTTAGCTAAATCTTAAGATCTCAGAGTTGATTTCTAAAACTGATAAGCTAGTTTAAAGTCAGTAAATATTTTAGAATTATCTGAATGAAATGTAGACAGCAAATTAAGGTTAAGAAAGTAATTTTTTTTTTTTTTAAGATTTTATTTATTTATTTGACAGAGCAGGAACACAAGCAGGGGGAGTGGGAGAGGGAGATGTAGGCCGCCTGCTGAGCAGAGAGCCTGATGCGGGGCTCGATCCCAGGACCCTGGGATCATGACCTGAGCTGAAGGCAGACGCTTAACGACTGAGCCACCCAGGCG